TTATTTATTTATTTATTTATTTATTTATTTATTTATTTATTTATTCACTAATAAATTTTGAGAAAACTTTTTTTTTTACCCCTTATAATTGTGCCTCATCTTTAAGAGAAAAATCTGATAAAAACCTACAATTTCTTAACAATTTATACATTTACAAGCCTGTTTTTTTCTCATGATCAATTTGATCTCCTTAATTATCAGAACAGGTAAAAATCCCATTATTTGATTGTTTAAAAAGTTAACATTTGAGCTGAGATTTGAGGAATCTACAGGTCCCTAATAATTTTCTACTGATGTTGGTTTAACTTTTTCTTCTTTAACCGCCGGGCAGTTCAGGCCGGCTGGGATTAAAGAGTGTTAAAAAAAAAAGATGCAAATAAGAACCAAACTACAGAAAGGAAGCACAAAGGGGAATCTATCCGCCGCCTCAATGGCGGCTTGTGAGACATGCAAATCCAGCCGGCGCGAAAAGAAAAAGAGAGAAAAGTTTTTTCCAACTCGAATGCAGAAGCAGGAAAAGAGAAAACAGCTGCTTTAAATTTCTGTTGGGAGTAACGAGCCACAGGGAAATGTCCCGATCCACAAACAAGCTCTTTACACAACATTATCTGCTTAGACGAGTAAATATAAACATTGAGCTCCTGCTTTTTAGAAAATCAAGAAAGTTGAAGCAGAAATAAAACAAAAGGAAAAACTTTTACTTTATTGGCACCTGCTCAGAATCAGACTGAGTCGAGTTTGGGCTTTTTTTAAACTTTGTTTGGGGGTTTTAAAGTTTCCACTGTGGTTTCTTTGGTGAGGGATCCAGAGGGATTTTTCTGTTTTCAAACAACTTTTCTTGATTTATGGAGTTTTATTCTCCACAAATGGTGAACAGTGAAAGTGGTAACCTGTTTAATTTCAGTTTTTAATCAAGTCTTGCTCCCAAAATGTTTGTTTTCTAAAAACTAGAAAAGATTTTATTATTATCTGTGTTTGACCTTCTTTGAGCTTCTAGTTGGATCCATTATTGTCTTTTTTTCTGTTTTCATGGGTTATGATTCATTGGTTGAGTTTGGCTGCAGTTTTCCCTTTTGTCCAGCAGAGGGCGCGCTAGTACAGATTTGGCTTGAAATTGGTCGCATTTTCCTGAACCTTTCTTCTTCTCTCACTCCCCCTCTTACTCTCATTCCTTACTTTTTTCTCTTCTTTCTCACTTCTTGTTCATAACTAATTCATAAAAT